GAAGAAAAATTTTCTGGAATATTATTCCATACTTCTAATATTATGTTGTCAACACCGCAATCTGTTTCTTCGTTATGTATTCGATGACGTTCCAATTCTTCGATACGCTCTCGCATATTCACAAATTTATTTGTCCAAATTGGATTAGTTTGCAAATCGATTAACTGCATTTCTAAATTTTCTAATCCYATCCMATTAAGATAGTAATCATTAAAATCTTGCACATCGAATAAATCGGGATAATTAATAATTTTTATTAATTTTTCAATTTTTTTAAAATCATGAAACCTTTGTGAAAACTGTATTTTAATCAAACCAACAATATTTGAAAAYTCATTGGTAAAATCCCAATTGGTTTGTTCAAAAATGTCCACTTCACMTAACATTTTTTTCACTTTTGGGAAGTATAGAAATTTTCCAGATTTGACATCGTTAATAAACATATCTATTTTAATTTCAAAACCTTTTATTAATCCAAACATGGCTTCAATTGTTTTCCCGCGTCCTTGTAACTTTTTATTCAAAGTGTTCAAATGTAATGTTAGATCTGTGAAAAACATCAATTTTGCTAGCCACTCTGTGTCCCACTATATTACAACATATAAATTATATTTTATAATAATAAAGATAAGATATCTGAGCCGTCATAGTTCTGTACTAAATACTATTAAATAAAAAAAAGATAAGATAACAATACGTCGTTGTGAAATATATATTATTAATATAAATATATATGGACAAATGAAGAGTGCCATCGAAAATCTCACGCGTGCCACCTATTTGCCATCCCTGTTCGATCTTCTTCTTCCCATCGCGAAAAAACGAACCTGGAGGCCGCTTTGACATTTTCGTCCTTAAATGTATAAACGTTTTTTTTTTTGAAATTTTAAAAATGTAATTAAATCACTTATAGGTTCTGAGTGAAGCCAAAAATGTATTGGTATCATTGAGAATAATAAATTGTTAAATTACCTACTTAAATTAATATTATGATGACTGCTATAATATGATTAAAAATTATAAAATATTGAATAATTAACAACATTTACGAATTAATGTAATATGTAGTAGGCATTTAGATATATTCTGTATAACAATACATTATAAATTGAGGAGCATAGTACCAATAAACAGCTTAAACCACAAAAAAATAATTTTCCATTTGATTTTTTTCCTCTTTTTTTTTAAGTTATCCAAAATTGGATGGAAAAATACTATTGTCCAGTCATTGCATTTGTGTTTTAGTTGAGCAGCGTGAATGGAGTGAATATGACAAACTTAGAACTAACATGACCAGCGATAACCTTGAATATATCATAATGTTCAAATTTATTAAATGCAACAACCACTATTTAAACTCGTTGATATAATATTTTATGTTATATTATATTAAACTATGTTAAATTAATTACAAACCTACAAAGTTAAACCAAGAGTATTAAGAATACCTACTTAATACTCGTAGTAAAAGTATTAGAGTAGTATTTAAAAAAATAAAAATAATTTAGTATTTTCTCAAGAATACTTTTTAAAAATATTCTTTACAACACTGAGGGACTGTCGTTTGAGTCTATACATTATATTATATCATTGATCTTAAATGAAAAGTATTTTACTTTTAAACAGAGGCTAAAAAAATTAAATTTAAAATGGTACAAACTTTTAAATTGTTCATTCATACAATTCTTTGAAAAAAAACAAGCAAATTAGGTACTTAAAATTGCTGCCTTTCTTTAATATTCAGAACATAATATAATTTTACTAATTAAAACCACTGGAGAAATTAAATGAACTATCTTAATTTATGTATTTAAAAAATTCTGGTTATATATTTGTTTGTAGAAATAAGGTATTTTAATGGAAATTGTTTATTTATGTCTGACTTCAGTCTGCAATAATAAACATTAAACAATTGTATATTATATTTTTATATATTTACTATTTACATAACGCTTAATTTAAAATATAATTAATCAAAATTTCATTTTTTCACCAATTTCAGTAAGCGTAACAAAAAATAGTTCCATATGAAGAAAATTATATAAACAATAAATTATAATAATATATTATAATTAATCTATTCCGTAATCCGTGGACTGCGATGTAACCAAGTTTATACTATATAAAAAAAGAGTTTCCCAATACTATTCTATTGTTTATTTCAAGATTCATTAAAGCCTAAACATCATTTAATTATCCACTATTGTAATATAATAAAAAATTCAGGGCCCTTAAAATATTTATGGAGTTATAGATTTGAGTCTAAGCATAGACAACTTAAAACATACACCAAAAACATAACTTCAAGAGTTCATATTCCTATTTCGTTAGGTATAAAATATTCCATTAATTTTTCTGATTATATTTTAAATTTAAGCAACAGTTCTTGTATCTCGACAAATTTAGGCTCTCCACTTAGTTCATGTGAATATTTTGAAAAAATTAAAATTTTGTTTTCACCTAATGATTTGGCTGCACTTGATCAGGCTCTTTGTTATGACCAAATTGTATACAACAACACAGTGTATAAAATCAATAATATACTTACAGCTTTATTTGACAATACAACATTAGTATATAAATTTAAAAAAAATATATGTCTTGATGAGAAAGTATTGTTTTTATGTAATACTTTAAATGTACTCTCTTATAACAAACATTTTGTTAGTTATGTTGTCTCAAGTATTGATACTGGACTATATGTTTTAAAAAGTATTACAGATTTCATGGGTCCTCCAGTTCATTTATATTATCTTAATAATAAAGACACTGTAATACGTTTAAAACATTACTTTATATAAAAATTTATTTTTATTTATTAAAATACATTATTTTATTTTGTTWATAGTATAACCATAAAGATTATACATATTATACAACAGTATTTTTTTATATCAACCTAGGTATGTACAATTAAACTTTTTTTACTTTGTTCAATCTTATACMAAATTATAAGGAACTTAGGTATTATTATCTCAGTTATTAATAATTTTAGTGTATTTTATTTAATATGTTTATTTTTATTTTTTGATAAACAAATAGCTGTAATATATTTGAGCATAATTTTGATGTACATTTAAATTTAGTATATTCAATATATAACATAGGTATTTGACAATATTTTTACCGTTTGTGTTTGTTTATATTTTTATTTTTTATTTTTATTATTTCATTCCTGTAACCAGGGACTTATATTGTATATTATATTTAATATTATGCTTGAATATCAATAAATTGTTCAAATGATTTATTTTTAAACAATGTATCTATATACATACCCAGATAGCAAAATCATGTTGATAGAATGTTTTTTGAATGTTAGAAATTTAAAAATAATGTTCCAATAAGATTTTAAACAGATGAAAATAATGTAATTTTAACATTCTATGAATGTTCTATCGCCTTTATTTGGCCACTTTTTTTCGGATTCTAGAAATATTACATGGGTAATATGGTTGGAATATTGTTAAAATCATATTCTCAAAAAATTTTTTTTTAAAGTTAGGATAATGTTACTTTATTTTACCATAATATTAGTAAAAACTTTAGAAAATATCATTTCTGATAATGTAAAAATATTTTTTTATAAAAATTTGATTAATGTTTAAAATATATATCTTAAATAATATAGTTTCATTAACATTTAATATGGATTAAAATAATTAATAAATATATATTTTCAATTACCAGCAATAGCTTGTACGAATAAAAATATTATTCATAAATATCCTAAAAAAAACATAAATAATTATATGTTGATAGATGGTTCTTATTATAACTACATAAATTTCGCCCAAGTTAAACAAAGTTGAGTGGCTAAATTTTTCCAATGATATATATGTGAGAAATATTGGAAACAGTTTAAGTAATAAGTAWATCATCTGCAGTGTAGCACTGTGAATTTATTATATTATTGTTTAGGTAAATAAGAATTGAAATTAAACATACATACTATATAACTATAACTATATATTATATACACAAGTTTTGTACAAACATATTTCTTTATTAATTTATACATAAATAATATATAATATTATACAAAACAATATAATATGGGTATATAAGATACAATATATATATATGTATAATAATTATAAATTAAATTGTAAGAAATAAAATTAAAATAAATTCCTCTTTTACTTGTTTAAAATATTAGAAATAGAAGTAGAACAAATGTATATACTTATGTATAGAGCAGGTTGTACAAGTTATTATTATTATATACATATATAGATACATATTTCTTCAAATTATTTATTATTTATACATAAATAAAATATACGAAACAATATATATAATAAGAGACATGATACATATATAATATAATAATATTATAAAATTGTAAAAAATTAAATTAAAACAAATTCTTCTTCCTCTTGTTTGAAATATTAAATAGTAGTACAGAAAAAATTAATAGAAAATGTTTTTTAAAGAGTTGTACTATTATTATTAGTTATTTTGTCAATATTTTTGTTGTGCATTCTAAATTTTGCATGTGCTAACCCTGTTGCTAATGGAATATCAAATTCTTTGTTTATAAGAGTTTTGAATTTGGGATGAACTCTTAAGGCATCTGAAAGAGATAATTTTAATATTCATTTTATTTTCAATACATGAATTTATTACTATAGTTTAAAAGGTAAAATTCTGAAATAAAAATGATAGGTACAACTGTATAAAAATAAAGAATTTATTAAAGAGGTAATATTATATATAAACAAAATGTGATTCATATATAGGCTAGATAACGGGAATGTTCTGGACCCTTATTAAGGCGTGTGTGTGTGTGTGTG